CTTTGAAGATGAGTGGACGGAGAAATGTATGTTCATTCTTCCGTCAGGCAGTTGACGAGTGTGCCTTATATGCTTTGAAAACGTGGCATTAATTAAAAGTGGCAACGTGAAGCGCCACTACAAAGCACAGATCTTTAGAGCAAAGTTATCCCCTGAATTCCGAGCTGAGGGCACACAAAATAACCGAGCTGCAAGCCCTGTATGACAGATCTATCCTACTCATCACGCATACATTTACGGCCCATCAAAGTAAAAACAAAACGTTTTATTTATTGTTTTCTGAGGATGTTGACTTCTACTTGAAGTGGAGGCCTTTAGTTCTTTAGGCTGGGACTTCTTTAATTTAAGAGATAAAAGAGTTATTCAGCTCTGTGTACACATTTTATTCTGAGGTTTTTGTTTTCTGTAATCTGAAATAAAGGCCTTGTTTTTTTTTTTTTTGCCTGGGACTACATATATATATATATGGTCAAAGAGCTAACTGTGCACTCAGTTAAACATGTCCTGCACTGAAAACTGACATGAAGTATTGTTGAAACCATGAAAATGTGGCCACAGGGGAAGGTGATAAGACACAAACTGGACTTCGGTTTGGACCTTTTACTTGGAGGAAATTTTAATAACTGGACCTCAGTGACTTTTAATTGAATACTCCTGCTCTAGAGTGTCTTTGCGGTCCAACATCAAATAAACCAATTAACACATTTAGAAAAATCAGTAAGCATTTTCTAGTCTGAAGTATATTATTTTATTTGATAGAGGCATTTCCTCATTAGAATTCATACAACATGATATTTTTCATTTTAGTCAATGTCTCCATGCATATCCCATAAGCTGCATTGGATGATATAGATAGATGATAAATATGATTATGTAATGATTTTTCCTTCTCTTTTGATTTCTTTGAGACTACTAAGTGTACTAAGTTCTGTTTTTTTCTTTTTTTTAATGTTTGTGTTTATACAGGGAGTGCAGAATTATTAGGCAAATGAGTATTTTGACCACATCATGCTCTTTAAGCATGTTGTCTTACTCCAAGCTGTATAGGTTCGAAAGCCTACTCCCAATTACGCATATCAGGTGATGTGCATCTCTGTAATGAGAAGGGGTGTGGTCTAATGACATCAACACCCTATATCAGGTGTGCATAATTATTAGGCAACTTCCTTTCCTTTGGCAAAATGGGTCAGAAGAGGGACTTGACAGACTCCGAAAAGTCAAAAATAGTGAGATATCTTGCAGAGGGATGCAGCACTCTTAAAATTGCCAAGCTTCTGAAGCATGATCATTGAACAATCAAGCGTTTCATTCAAAATAGTCAACAGGGTTGCAAGAAGCGTGTGGAAAAACCAAGGCGCAAAATAACTGCCCATGAACTGAGAAAAGTCAAGCATGCAGCTGCCAAGATGCCACTTGCCACCAGTTTTGCCATATTTCAGAGCTGCAACATAATTGGAGTGCCAAAAAGCACAAGGTGTGCAATACTCAGAGACATGGCCAAGGTAAGAAAGGCTGAAAAACGACCACCACTGAACAAGACACACAAGCTGAAACGTCTAGACTGGGCCAAGAAATATCTCAAGACTGATTTTTCTAAGGTTTTATGGACTGATGAAATGAGAGTGAGTCTTGATGGGCCAGATGGATGGGCCCGTGGCTGGATCGGTAAAGGGCAGAGAGTTCCAGTCCGACTCAGAAGCCAGCAAGGTGGAGGTGGGGTACTGGTATGGGCTGGTATCATCAAAGATGAGCTTGTGGGGCCTTTTC